AAAAATTAGTTAAAGTTTTACAAAATATGAAATAGATAATAAAACAAATTCTAATAAGGACTTCCAGATGCCCATATTCGGGTGAAACGTACGTTATTCAAAATTTGATGGCTGTAAGTACCGTTGTTTTATCTCAATGCGAGAAGCATATGTATTATAAAAAGTATATTATACTTTTTTATGCATATTCTTCGTTATGTATTTTTTTAATATAATATAGGATGATAATATTTGGTGGCAGCAATTTTAAAACTAAATCAACGTTTATAGTGAATCGTCGCAAAGTGCCAAAATTAATAGTCCTTCTGGGCAAATTGCCCCTTTGGACTTAAAAAAAAAACTTTTGAAGGTTCCCCCCCCTTCTTCTTCTTCTTCTTCTTCTTCTTTTTTTTTTTTTTTTTTTTTTTTTTAGTCCAAAGGGATTTGAATCCCGAAGGACTATTAGTTTCGTTTTGGCATTTTGCGTCGGACGGATAAATGTCGGTTCACTTTTCAAACTGTTGCCATAAAATGTTAGAGTCCTGCATTATATTTGAAGAAATTAAATAATGAAAATTTGCGTAAATGTATGTATATTTCTCACATTGTCATAAAATAACGGTACATAGAGTCATCGAATTTTGAATAACGTAATCCTCCAACGAATATGAGCATGTGGAAGACCAAATTTGAAATTTGAAATTTGTTTTATGATCGATTTCCTATTTTTTAAAACTTTGACGAATTTTTGATTAACAAACTCAAGGATTTCAAAGCGAGCAATGGCAACGTTGTGCAGAAAAAACATTTTTATCTCCAGCGCGTGAGTCTCTGTATCGGAAATTCTAAAGATATGCTCGTTTTAAAACTATTTTGCGATATTGCTGTTGCACTGGATCTTATGGTTTAAGTGCGAGGAACATGATATTTAATAAAGAAAGGTAACACACAAAATGTTAAAAAACGCCCCTTTGGACGTAATTTAAAATCTGAAACATTTCAGATTTTTTTTTTTTTTTTTTAGGAAGATATAACATTTTATATTCAGTAATTTTTAAATGTCTGTATTTAGCATTTAGTATTTTAGTAACTTGTGAATGGCAACAGCGTAGATGCATGTAAAAATAGAACTATGTTAGTTTGAATTATAAATGTACCCTCTTTTTTTTTTTATTAAGACGAGGATAATTTTAAGAATTTTTTTTAATCCGAATTTATTGCCCAGAATGTGTCCTAATGAGGTGAGTATGTTGGATTCGGCTATTTCTAGTCGCAATTAAAAATGTTAACAATCAGTTGAAAAAGCTCATTAAAAAAGAGGAAGGGAAATCACATCTGCCATTTTGGTATTGTTTAAGAGAAAAACACTCGATAACTGAAATACTAAAAAAGGTATAACTTCCGAGTGGAATAATCGGAAATAAGATCTGTAAATAGCTCTTCTTTCGGGCTGAATGCTCGAAATAAATTAAAATGGTTGCCCCTCTCTCTCTGGGAAATACCTATTTGATAGATTTCGCATTTTAGCGCGTGTTTATCATACAGCAGTATGCACGCGAAATTTCGTCGTTGAGTAGAGGAATAAGTTTTCATTTCGATGTTTTGTGAGTACATTTTTAACACAAGGGAAAAAAATAACCGTATATTATTTTGATATGGAGGATGAACCGAAGAATGAAAATCTTTCTGAACAGGAAACGAACATAGAGAGCGAAGAAAAAATGAATGCACAAAAAGAGAGCTCAGAAAAAACGAGCGCAAAAAAAACAGACATAGAGATATGTGAAGTAAATAGTAGTGGACTTTCTGAACAGGCAGATGATGTGAAGTCGGTAAGTAAAAGAAACAATGGCTTGTATTTTTATAAGATGGACAATGCGTTGGATTGACGGGGAGTAGCATTGACACCCGTCACCGAATCGATAGCGCCATACAATCGATAGAATGCAGAATAAATTGATAATGTAATAATGAGTAAGATTTTTAATGCACAAAATCGTCACAAAAATAATACTGTGTATGTGTAGGATCAATTAACTTAGGACCGGAATTGTGTAAATTGACACCCAGATGCCGCTCTCATTAGCTTAGCAAGCTCATTAGATAAACAAGGTTTATAATTATGTAATGGAACAGGTGAACATACAAAAGTGCATGGGGTACCAGAGATTTCACTCTAGAATGGAATAGGTATTGCTCCAATTTAGCTAAAGTTTGACGCTCGCGTGAAGTGCTTATATTAATGCTTAACTGGATGAGCCTAAACCGTAGACCTGCGGCGACACCAAAGGGATCGAGGGGGTTAAATTTTGAATCGAAAGTTATAAATTGACTGTATGCTCTTTCTCCTGAGAAAACACTGGAATATTATACATTGGAGTTGTTACATTTAAACATAAGTAGATATTAATATACAATTAGGCAAAGTTACGTAACACAAATTCATTACAATATTAGATTACGTTAGAGCTGATACTTTGGAAATCGTTGCACAGGAATTTTAACATTTTTATGTAAGTAGATAACGCTATGGGGTTTGATTTTGCTAATATATTGGAATGTTTGTTTCTTACTATGTGAGGAGATGTTTCTTACATGCAAAGACCGTTTTTATCTCAGATCTTTCAGCCCAAAATCTGTTCCAAAATTCATAAATAAAGATCGTAGGCTCAGATTAGTACATTCGGTGTCTTGAAGAAATATAAATTGTTGATATTGTTCGAAATCAGCTATTTGGGATGTAGAAGCCAGTGCTCTTTCCCCTTTTTCTTTCTTTCCCCCCCCAAGGTGTGACTTGGCATAGGTTCAGTCTTATGAGCGTTGAGCTTTTTGTGTATTTTCACGATTTTTGGATATAGATGGCGTTGAAATATCACCAGTCTTTTGAAGTCTAGATTGGTGGGTTTTCGGAGGTGCAAGTCACTTGAAAGAGGGCTGAAGAATAGGTAATGGCTCTGCCGATCCTAGACCGTCGTGCAAATTAAAATTGGCCGTCCTTTTTTACAGAAACATATGTTTGATAATCATTTCGCCGCCCTTAAATTTGACCGCCCACCTGTTTTGCACCATCTTGCTCCCCGCTGGGGTCATTTCCTTTGCAGACGCATAACCAAGAAAGAATATGATCAGTTTATCATTTTTAAGCTATCCTGCATGTGATCGAGAGTGCTATCTTGCATAAGAGAATTTTTTGAGTTGCTTTATCGATCATGTGTTGCAGAAAATTGTGTCCAACTTACCGTAGTGTCTATTCCGTGTGTCATTCCCCAGGTAACTCGCAAATTTTCTTGTTTCTTGGAAAACTAGGAATTGGAATCGACAGTCAAGCAGATCCAGTGTTATGAGCTCGTAAATAGTACTATGTTATGTTTTAGGTTAAATCTTTGAGTCAAATGTACATGATTGGCGATCTTTGGCGACATTTTTTTCAGGAAAAGGCAGTTGTTCTCTATGCTAAAAAAAAAAAAAAAAAAAAAAAAACTGTACAGTCAAATAAGGACATTTTTTTCAGTAAAAGGCAGTTGTTCTCTATGCTAAAAAAAACTGTATAGTCAAATAAGGACATTTTTTTCTTAAAGCTGTTGCCGCGTAAGTCTTGAGTGACAATTAAAATTTAAACTTTTACTGGTTAGTTGATTAGATTCGCCATTTTTAGTGAGTAAGCGCATAGATCTCTCCAATAAGGACAGGATGAGTTTAAGGAATTTCGGGGGTTGGAAGATGGGGGCTTCCTAACGCGATCCCCTTATATAATTTTTATCACTAATCCTTTTATTTCGATTTTAGTGCATGCAAGATTTAAAAAAAAAATTAATACGAAAGTCTTGTTCAATGAGAAGTTCATCTTATTGTTATTAGTATTTATGCATGACGGCGGCCCGTTTCAAGCTCGGAGCTCTTCCCACCTGCGATGGACACCTGCGGAGTATCGCACCTGCAGGGCCCCTAAACCGGACTTGAACTGGAAAGTACAATACGAAGTTCCAAATCTGGAATAGTCGGTGATTCCGGATTTTAGGTCATTAGATTAAACTATTATTATTAAACTCATTATCTACTATTATCTAGTAAGATGACATGTAGACATGGCAACATTGGGTTTATTGTTAAGCCAGATAGAAAAATGCATGCATATCCTACACAACCACTAAAGGAACGAAAGTGAGATCCTGGGTGACAGCACTATAACACTAATTATTTATTATCATTGGCCACGGTGCCACTTTCGTAGTCCGCGGGTATTTAAATGTGATATGCAGAAATGTCAGCTGGCCCAAATAAAGAATCGCATTTACGGCATACAGAAAGAGGAGTTTTAATCATTTTTCATTCCTAGACTCTGCAAGGGGAGAGGGTTGGATTTTTTTATATTGTTTTATTTTATTTATTTATTTTTCGGCTGGTGGTCCGGAATTCCGAATATTGGATGTCCAGATTTTGGACTTCTGTAATTAAAATTATAATTATTTTACTTTCTTGCAATTTTGCATGCCATCTTTTTATTATTAGTAATTTATAGTGGACATTTTGCTATAAGCAAGTAATTGTATGTGATTTTTGTGAGATTTTTTTAATAAGTAATATTTTGTGATTGTGTGATCTATATAAACGTATAAATTTATGAAGCACTTGCATGTTAGGAACAAGTGATAAGTAGTCAGATATGGTTTCTAAAGTTGCAAATACCAGTATTAGATGGCATATTAACCTTTCCCAAACGGAAGCATAATTATTTTAAAAAGGTTAAAATTATTATAAATTGTGAACGATTATATAAATTTTTGTTTATTAAAATTTTGAGTCTTGAATTTTAGGATTTAAACTTGTACCAAAATGTAGACGGAGTTGTAGTAAAATTTTTATAAGAAAATGGGAATTATATATTAACCATATGTCGCAAGATTTATTGTATTCATAATTCCCTAAATATTAGGAAACCATTTTGTGGTAGAAATACTTTTTTGTTGTACACAAGCAACACTTTTGTAATGCATTTAAAATTCTTTCTTATTTATTTATAGGACAAAATTATTAACCTGTTTGTTGGATGTGTAACTACTTTGATATTTGTGGTAAGTTATTACAATACTGTTCATTTTTTATGTTTTTTATATTGTATAATTGAATCTATTTAACATGCAAAATTAAAATTTTTCTCATTATATTATTATGTTGGGAGGGGGAAAGAACAGTTCTTAGAAGTAATTTAATTTTGTAAGCAGAAATGATGTAGAGAATGTGCTTAACTTTTGAAATGCATTCCTAAACTATTTACTATTATAATATTAAAGCTAGGCCATTTAATATTTATTAATGATTTATATTTATGTTTTGAGACATTTTAGGCTTAAAGTTCGAAATGTAGAGAAAAAAATTAGATAGTAATATGGCACTGTGGAGTTTCGTGCCAAAAATATTTGGCGAGAAATTTGTCGCCAAGTGAGGGCGTATATAAGAGTAGTTCCTGAAAATTTTTATAATTAATCAATTTCTCATTATTTAATTAACTGTTGCCTATTTAAAAGTACAATAAAATCTCATTATAAGGAACCTTAAAAAAATTATAGTTTTGATTTGCTGTGTTTAGTTGTTTTTAACAAATTATAAAAGAGCTGACTAAACATTGTAACAAGAGATCATAGCATCAATTAATTGCAGTTATTAATTACTGTATTTTTAGCATATAAGTTGATGTTATAAATCAAAAAATACTTCTGGAAAAGATATACCTTGTTATACCCTAACTATGAAAATTCATGATTTATATTTACATTTACTAACAAAGTTGATATTTAACAAAAGTGACTAATTATGTAAGTAGTTATAATTCTAAATAAAATATTGAGTAAGATATTTATACCTGTTAAAATAAATAAAAATAAAAATAAATAAATAAAAACATGTTCTGTGAAAATTTTATGAAAAGGAAAAATAGGTAATGGTAGACATGTGCACTGACAGGAATTATTTAACTGTCCAAGCATAATAATACGAAAAAAAAAGGGGGGGAACCTGTTTTGCAGGTGAAATTGAAATTTTTTTTTAATTGATTTATTTTAAAAATCATAGACATAGATTTAAAGTCTGAAAGTGAATGGTTCATATATTTCCTTTTTATTTTATGTTACTGCTGTTGCAGCATTGTATTGATCCTGTTGTTTGGTATTTGAATTATGGTATATGAATTTCAGTGTAAGCCTTCCACAAACTAATCAGGTGCTTTCTGTTAACACAGTAATATAGGAAGAACAAAAGCCAAAAAATGTAAATCAAAAATGAAATGTAATATGTAATTGATTTCAAAATGCACATGATGCAGTAGTAGTATAAAGTAATTTATAAAGACCTTTTTTTATTTTATAATTTTATTTTCACACTGCTGCTTCCTTTTTATTTTTATATTAAATTATATTTGTATACATTTCGTTTTATTGCTATGTGGTGCTGTTGTTTGTTTCAGCATTCCCGTTTCTACTGTTTAATTGTATATTTTCCATTTTGTCTTCTATTTTATATTTAAAAATTTTCCATTTTATTTTTATTATCCTTCTTTTTACATGCATATTTTTATATTTATTTTTGTGTTTACACATTTTATAATTGTCAAAGTGGCTGTGAGTGAGGGATCACATCATTAAATATTTCCTATTTGTTAATGAAGCAAACATAACTCATTTTATAAAGAGTTAGAGAGAAAATTTTTTATATATTGAAATCTTTGAACTTAATAGATATTATTTTGCACTTGGGTAACTTTCAAGTGTGTACTACTTTAATTATACATGCTAGCTCAGGTTAATATGTATGAACATTTGAAATATTTGTGCATAAAATATTTTATATATATTATATTCTTATATGCAGGTTACATTGCTGTCTGCCTTTTTATCTCGAACTCCACCTCGGGGATTAAATATATATTTTGCACTTTGCATTTCACTCATCGGTTTCAGTCATCTTTTATTGGTTAGTATACAGCAAATACATATGCTTTTACTCATTTATTATTGGAAAATGTTATTGAGATGGTCTACAACTAATACCTGTCTTTATTTTCAGATTTATTGGTATCGTCAAGGTGACCTTCATCCTAAATTTAGGTTGCTAATTTATTATAATGCTTTCACTGTAGTACTTCTCAGCATTTGTGCCCTTTCATTTTTCTTCACTGAGGAGTGACAAATGCATGCTCTCTAACTGTGAAAGTAAGTTCTTGTTTTTGAAATTCAGGTATTGTCAATCCCTCAGCTGATTTTAAAATATAGAATTTAAAAATTTGATAAAAGTGCATTAGAATTTGTAAAGTGTTATGTTAGTAAAAAGAAAGAAATTAAGTAACTCGGCTGTCAGCAATTTTTTATTAACTAATATTTTCTGTTTACTTTTGAGGTTTAGAATATCAGCGGTGTAGCTCTGCACGAGGCAGTTTTGAAAAAGATACTTTCAATTAAAAAATGTAAAAAAAAGAAAGAAAGAAAAAAAAAAAAAAAAAAAAAAAAAAAAAAGGAAAATTCTGAGTTATTTTTATCAGCTTTTTGTATCAAAATTCGTAGCTATTAAATAAATTTGTCCACTGATATTCATCTGCCTTGAAGTTTTCATTGCTTTAACCCATTGTACAACTAATTATGATTGCTTAGACATTGAAACATCTTTCCCATTTGACAATTCTGTGGTCCCCCTTTTGTTCTCTGTGGCAAAATATGGACCACCGCCATTGGCAGACGTGCACTGTACTATTTGGATGTGACTTCTGCAACCACTGCTAGGAGGCTAGAGAATATTTAGGCACCAATGAACTTTTCTTATTCTCACTTTGTTATTATATTTTGTTCTATGTACTTATAATTTTCTGTTTGCTTCAAATACAACTGCAACAGATTACCCTCATTCCAGTCAGTTATTGTATTATGTTAACTGTTCTTGAAAGTGAAGAATATAATGGTCAGTAAATGTCTTGCAACATACCTTTCATATTTTTCTGGAAAGTTTTTTTTATATATATATATATATATATATATATATTGTGATTCATACCTTTTTGTATGATCTGTGTAAGAAGATGATTAAAAAGTATAGTCGTATGTGTGCTTATAACACATGTAAGATTTGCTGTAGGCACTGAATCCAATTTTCAAAAGCTAATAACTTGAATCCAAAAAGACTGCATAGTAAGACAAGTAACATTACCTGAGACAGTTCATTCCAAATAAGAGCTGTTGGTAAAAGATATATTTTCCTCCTATTTAACTATAACTGTATGCATTGGCAATGAAATGGTTCCCAAAATTACCAGATTTATAAAATAATGTATTTACTAATATTAAATGTTTTAAATCAATAAAAGGACTGAATTGAGCAAATAATTAAATATCATTAGTTAATAGTTAATTCTGTAACACAGACATAAAAAAAAGGAAGAAATAATTTAATATAAAAAAGAAGTACTTACCTCTTCATTGCTACTAGCTACTTATGCATACACTAAATCTTTTTTTGGCAAATCTTAAACTTTGCGGTCATCAATTGTAAAATTTGCTCAAATACCAGGATGTAATGATGCATTGCAAGCCTGGTATTTACAGTCAAAAGTCTTTAATTCGGACTCGTCGGGACTTCGGCGATTCCGGATTATAGATCATCAGTTTAAATCTGGTAAGATGGCATGCAGAAATTATAAAATTAAAAATATGAAACCGTAATTTATGAAATAAAGAGCAATTATGATCTAAAGGGTATAAAAATTTACAAAAGAAAAAGCTTAATATTTATTTGTTTACTTTATTAAACATTTCTTTCAACGCGCGCATACGTAAAGCATACATTACGCATAGTCGAAATTAGAAAATTGCAACCAGAAAACTATTTGATTTGTATTCATGATATTTATAATGACGAGGAATTTGATTTAAATCATATCAAAGACGAGGAAATACTGCATTTAGTAAGGAATTATAAGCCGAATAAAATAAAAACATCTGCCCTGAAGATAACGATAGTGCTGACAGATGAACTTCCAGTTCATTTCGCGCAGCGACGTCCCCCCCCCCGGGCGCACAGAGTAGCGTGAAATTGATAAACAGATTTGGAACGTTTAGCTAAACAAAGGATATGCCTTTATCCATTTTTTGTAGCAATTCCACTTTTTGTTTGATGGACATCGAAACATACTTTCGTTTTGTAGATCCTTTGGGAGCTCCAGCATCGGAAGTTCTATTTGACATAATCGAAAGTTCAAGCTTACTTTTATAAAATTGCTCTTACAGTCTGCAAAAAATAATAAGCCAGATCCAATTCGAAGATTAAGGAACAACACAATCATCAACATTAACTGAAATAGATAATTAGATAATTTTAGCTTATACCTTCCGTTATACATTAAACGCACACGGAAAAACGTATTCTGCGATTCAAAACGTAATGTAATTTATTGCAAGTTTTACCCTTGATTGAGCTTTTGCATGTGTTTACACAATGATGATTATCAAATAATTTATAAATGTATTATTCTTACCAGGATAAATTGGTTTATGCACCATAAAATTAAAAAATGCTAAATGTTTATATAAATGTTGCTGATTTTTTCACATTAAACCCATGTTGTTCTTGAAAGTGTTAAATTTTTTAGAACAGCACTCTTTTATAAAATGTTTTTCTTATATTTTTTTGCATTTTACTATTTTGCAGTCCTAGAATGCTTTGTAAGAAAAGTCAACTGATTTTTCAAAACACTGAAATTTATCCATTTTGAAAGTTTTTTCCCCACCAGTTATATATCATAAAATCTAAACTGTATTGAATTAACCATCCAAAAGAAAGAATACACTCAAAATCAGTATTTCTAAACACTTTTCATTATTGCTGATTATTGCTTTAGAGAATATTAAATGAAAACTCTTCTTCTAGTTTACTACTAAAGTGCAAACTTAGTAGTAATAAACAGTTGTACTTTCTACTCTATTTTCATACATAGTTTATTTTTTATAATCATGAATGCATCTTTCTAATACAGTCAAAAGTCGTTAATTCGGACACCCATAATCCGAAATGATCTATAATCCGGACCTCAAAGCTAAAAACTTTCTGCGCATGCCTCGCGTTGACGCATGCGCATAGGCATTTACGCATGAACGTCAGACTTTTACGGCTGCGAATATGCATGTGCACATGCGCATAATACGTTTACGCATCCGCATTTAATGTATAACGGACAGTATAAGCTAAGCTAAAATTATCTAATTCAGTTAATGTTGCAGATTGCGTTGTTCCTTAATCTTCGAATTGGATCCGGCTTATTATTTTTTGCAGACTGTTAGAGCAATTTTATAAATGTAAGCTTAATATTTCGATTATGTCAAATAGAATTTCCAATATATATTTACTAATATGTAAAGGATCTACAAACCGAAAGTATGTTTCGAAATCCGAAATCTGTTTATCAATTTCACGCTGCTCTGCGGCGGGGGAGTGCGGGGGAAACGCCGCGCAATGAAATGGATGTTGATCTGTCAGCACTATCCTTATCTTCAGGGCAGATGTTTTTATTTTATTTGGCTAATAATTCCTTACTAAATGTAGTATTTCATCTCGATGTACTCCGTCTTCGATATGATTTAAATCAAGTTCCTCGTCATTATAATTCGCTTCTGATAGTGAAGAAAGTGACAGAGAGTTTATTGAAAACGAAAAAATTTTGATTGACAAATTAGTCGGTATTCTCGACACAGCAATTATAGGACTTGAACAGTGGAACTTTGTAACTAAACAAGAAATTATGTCTGTTTAATAGAATTAAAGAGAAAGTATTATCACATGAAACGAAGCAACTTAAACAACTTACATTGAAAGAAATGTTTAATAAAGTAAACAAATGAATATTAAGCTTTTTCTTTTTGAAAATTTTGATACCCTTTAGATCATAATTGTTCTTTATTTCATAAATTACGGTTTCATATTTTTAATTTTGTTATTTCTGCATGCCATCTTATCAGATTTAAACTGATGATCTATAATCCGGAAAAATCGATAATCCAGAATCTCCGAAGTCTCGATGAGTCCGGATTAACAACTTTTGACTGTATATGTTTATCCAAATCTTTTTCTGCATTAAAAATGAATTGTAATTAAAAGAAAAAATGAGGCAAGTGTTAATTTACAGGATTTTCTATTGCTGCTTGATAAGTAGGTACCTGATAGAATTATTTTTCTAAATAACAGTTTTTGTTTGGGATAATGTCAGATGCAACCCATTAAATGTTTCACAGTAAGAATTGCAAGTTTTTCAATACCTCTCATTAAGTGTCCCCCTTTTTCCCCCCTTAATTTGGGTCAATCGCCATTACAAAATTAAACAGTTTCTGTACCTTTTTAACAATTAATTTAATTTCTTGTATATTAAAGACTCTTATCTCTATCACTATTGATGCTTATAAAATTATTCAGTTCTCCATTTGTCAATTCATAATGGTCATTCTGGATTAATTCTTTAATTTCAGCTTCTTTTGTATCTGAAAATCCTTTGCTGCTTATTGCTTTTGCAATTTCTATGATTTCCTTGGCTTCATTTTCAGTCAATGGAAATCCTTTAAAATTATTGGCAAAATTTGGCCAGCACTGATGCCAGCAAGGATTCATTGTTGATGAATTCTTTTCATTTCTAAACTATGTCTTATATTGAGTTGCTTCTTAAATGACATTAGTGTGTTGTTCTGTCCTTAGCTAGTGCTTTATTAGCGGGGTTGTAAATATGCCTGACACAATAGGCTTTGAATGTTTTTATGATTCCTTGATCCATTGGTTGTATTAAGGAAATGGTGTTTGGTGGAAGGAATAATACCTGTACATTTTTATGCAATGTTATGAAGACTTCAGTATTGTGTCTGGAGCATTATCGGGAATTATGAGAAATTTAAAGCTCAGACTTTGATGTTTAGTAATATTTGTTTTCTTTAATGACTGAATTATCGACCAAATTATTAAAGAGGACTGTTGCAACGGTTCAGCATTCAGCAGCATACTGCATATAATTGAAATTCTCACATCAGAGAGATTAAATAAAAACAATCAAGATAACATCCATACATAAAATCTCATTTTGCAAGTCCACATTTGGCAGGGTATGTATCTATAATATTTTAAATTTTATTTTATAAATGTATCAATTTAGATTTTAAATATGCGAACTTACATTTAGAAAATGGTACCATATGTATCACAAAGGAAAAAATTACCTTTCTTCTTTTGTGCAACTTTCATTTAAGTAAAGAAAGCTAAATCCACCATACACTTGCTTACAATATCCATGCTTGTACTGGTGAATCATAAAATATGCTCGATTCTTTAGTATTGATGAATCCGTGGTTCATAAAATTGATGATTCACAAAATACTATAAACTCCAGTATTGACTTGATCAAATGTTTATCTCACAGTAAATGTATGATATAGGGTTACCTTGCTGGTAAATCTTATTCTAGTAAGCATTATGAAGTAAACTTGTGTGCTGGATAATGGATTAATTTTATGTCAGGTTATTTTAAACAGAATCATATTTATGAAAATTTAATTATATTAAAAATTCAGTTTTAGTAATCCAAGATGAAAGCATTGATTTTTAAGTGCTCTTGGAATTAATAAAAAATATGAAAATTTAAACTTTTATTATCTGTTGAATTCTCTAGTTTAATCAGTGGTAATGTTAAAGCAAGCCAATATTAATATTGATGTATGTTAAAAATGCCAATATATATATATATATTTATATTCATTCAGTTCATATAATATATATATGTAAGATATAATAAAATACTATGGCTATATTAAGAAATAATTCACAAACTCAAAATTTAACTATTCTAGATTTGATGTTCTTCCTCCCTAAATTCATCTGTTCTCCCAAATTCGAGATCATTTCATATTACATAACACTACTTGAAAAAGGTAACTAAAAGTAAAATTAACCAGTCATGGTTTAGATTCACATATGCACCTATGGAGTATAGATACTGCTTCATGAGGAAGTATGTTCCTTTTTTCCTAGCTTCCAACATGCAAATATCTTAATGCTGCTTATGCTTCCCTGCCTGAAATGACGTCATATCTTTTTTCCTGTTACATAAAAATTTATTGTATTCGACAATGATTGAAAAGTAATTTGTTTGCCAAAGAGATGATTTGAAATGTATAAAAATAAAGATGGTGATTCTTCAATTCAGTTTTATCAATAGCATATTCCTGCCTTTTCCACGTAGCCATGTCTACAGCCAGAAATTAAAGTACCAGATTCACGACTGCGCACTCAAAATATCACACATATATATATATTCAGTTCATATAGGTATATCCTATATCTCTAAAGTTATAGCAGATTTGAAATCAATATCAAAGATATACCCAAATATGTTGTTATTGTTGGCACTGTTGAATCATGTTGTATGTTAGTCAGTATTTACCATGTTTTTCTCTCAGCAAATAAAGAATCATAAAAATGCAACTTAAATAATTGTAATTAATTACTGGAATGAAAAAAAAATTCTGGTAAAATTATATTTGCTCAGAACAAGGGATAGCCTGAAAATATCAAAGTCTATATTCAACACTTTCTAATTATTCGCAACTGCATGAAAATTTGCCAACTCATTGCTGACTTAGTGAATTAACCAAAAATATCTGTTCGCCTCAGAAATTTTAATGATATGCTCATTTCAAGATTATTTTGTGATATTGCTGTTGAATTGAATTTTATGGTTTAAGTGTGAAAGAACATATTTAATAAATAAAAGTGACACACAAAATGTTAAAAAAAGCTCCTTTGGGCATAAAGTAAAATCTGAAAGATTTCAGATTTTGTTTATTATTATTATTTGCTAGCTAAAATTGTCAGGGAAAACTTAGGTACTTGTCTTCTGTAGCAGCCTTCGTCAGAGTAAGTGAATTCGGTATATTTCTGCAGTGGTGAGAAATAAAACAGTTACGTACCTACTTGTGTGAAAGAAGCATAGCCACTGATTTGCTCATGTTCGAAAACAAACTTTTAATGATCTAACTGACTGCTTTTTCATTATAAAATACTCATTATATTTATTACTTTAAATCTTCTGTCAATGGAAAAAGAAGCTATAATTGAATGTTTGAGGCATTGTTAGAAGCACTTGCTAAACTGTGGCCACCAGAAAGAATCTAAAAAATGAATTTTCCAGTATGTTAATGTCAATTTTTCCTTTTAATAAATTATACTAAATAAAGTAATAGAATTTTCTTCCACACTTATATATTTTATTATTTAAATTGCTTACGAGGTGGTATTAAATACTACAATAAATAACTTTTATTGTATAGATATTGAATAAATTCCCAATTCGTCATTACCATAATCAGTTTCATTTTTCTGGATATTCATTTGGCAATAAACTGCACTATCTGAAGCCCAAATTGAACCAATGGTGTTTTCCTTCACCAAAGCCATTACAATAGACAAGTACCAAAAATAAAATCAGTTAAATAGCTAATAACAATAAAATAATGATATTTTTAGTTTTCTTACCTTTATATAAATATTAGATAGCCAAAAAAGAGAAACGTTTTCTGAACTAGTATATGTTCAATCAGGTTTAAACAATTAGTGTTCTGTTTTATATATATGGTTTTAGATTTTTTGATGATTTTCTTTTTCTTTATCCTTACAGGTAATATGTGATACATTTCCATTCCACATGGCTTGCAATTTATGTAATAAAAGTCTACACCAAAGATTTGTTTATTAACTTCTGAAAAGCATGCATCAATTCTCTCCACAAAGTCTGGGATACATTTTGAAGTGTCTACATTTTCTATTCACAAATTTGGCATCACTAAAGCACATTCAAATTGCATATTAACTGCCAAACTATAGTAGTGAGGCATGTGATTAAGCAAAGTATATTCCAAAGTTTTGTTAAAAGTGAGATTATTGGTTTATTTTATATTTGTGATTGTTTGTATTTATCTGTATATTGCATTTTTGTATACTCTATTTTGCAATGAAAATCAAATTTGTTTTAGATAAGTTTTGAAATGCAGTATTTTTAAAAATATTATGTTATGTTTGTACAGCACTTACAAATGAGTGAAGTATTTTGTATAAAGAGTTTTAAATCCAAAATTAAGAAAAATTGTTTTTAGCAATAAATTATCAAGAAATTATCTTTGTTTTTAAGATGTGCAAAGATTTGACAAAGTTAAAAATTTACATTCCTGTAATTTCAAGTAAAATTGTTTAATAAATATTTTACTATGATGTAGATACCAACAATTATTGTTCATTTATTATTATTATTATTAATTAGACATATAAGATACTAAAATTGGAAATTTCTATTTTATTACATGTTCTATGGTTGAATTTACAATAAAATCATGAAAGTAATACATTATACAAAATCATTTACAAATTGTCTCACTCATTATCATTATAGAAAACAGTTTACTCAGCAGTACTTAATTATATAGCTACAAAATATGTAAAAGAATATACAAATAATGATATATGAATAAACATAGTAAAAGTAATGTGTAATGAGTGTTTTTAGATCCTCATTTAAAATTGTGCAATACTTAATCTTTATTTGCAGGCTTCTTTTTTATATTCTCATGTAATTTATTTCTCACTCGAATCTATTGTAATTAAACCCTAATTCATAATAACAGTGCACACTAAAACATCTCATGAAAACTTACTGAGAAGTTCCAATGTTAAAAGCACAAGCAAATGTTTGTCATCAGATGACATTTAAAGAAGAAATTTTAAAAATTATAAAGATTATTTGTTGCTTCTGTATAATTTTATAAAATTAAGCATAGGCTAAATTTACTTTTGTCAAATTACATAATTATAAATAAATTGTCTCAAAAACAATGTTTTAAAAATATATTGTATAAAAATAGGTGCATTAACTGGTGTTGGCAATAAAAATTTGTTTGGAAGCTCAAGATTTCAGCATTTGTACTATAGGAATCTGGGAATGATTGCCTTGTCAAGACACAATACAATTTTTTTCATCCTGTTTCCGTCTCCTTCGTAGACTTTTTGCACCGGACGATTGAAGAGTACCTGATCTCTGTCTTGCGACTGCAAGAGCATCATTACTTACATATGATATTCGTACTCCTCCATATGCTCGCCTTGGTGGCAATTCGTAAGGATCATCCTCAGAACTTGAACTTGAGCAAGTACTGCATCGATCCTCATCTGGTCTTTGATATCTAGATTCTGAACATGGTGCACTCATGCCTCTCTGAAAGCTAGATTCAAGTTCAGATTGATCACCATAGCTTCTGCTTCTAAGAACACCTGAATTTCTTTTATTTGTAGGTGTATTTATTTGACTTCTGTTGAAGGTCTCTTCACTGCCTGTCCCTGAAGAGGATGAAGAATGTTCAACTTTTTGTGAAAGAGCTTTTTGCTCTTCGTCTTCACTTGAGGGAGGCAACTTAGCAGTGGAAGGACTGAATCGTACAATCAGTTTTTTTGAAGAAACCGTTCCACTGCTGGTACCAGTGCCACTGTTCTGGTCAGGTGTAACTTTAGTTGGGCTTTCAGGTGGTGTAGCTGAGCCAGTATCTCTTGTGAGATCTGGCATGGAAAAGTGAGCCGTTGTGCGCCGATGATGATATCGACTGCGATCCTTCCGCTGCTCCTGAATTTCTTCAACTACCTATAAATGTAGTGAAATTTGTTTATTTGGTAATACAAACTTGGTATGAATTAAATATAAGACAAATACATTAATTTGACTGATATTGCAAGCTGTAAACAAAACAGACACTTAATGCCAAACTGCTACAAAAGCAATTTTTTTTTTTTTTTTTTTTTTTTTTTTTAACATTCGGTGTATCTTTGGTATCAAAGTAAGGATAAGGCTTCTTTCAGCTACCATGCTCAAAATTTGTGCTAACTTGTGTTTTTGCAAAATTGCTGATATCTGAATCGGATTGTTTGTTCCAAAAATGGTTGTTTGACAGATCTTGTACTTTTACCATTGGAATTATGCCACTAGCATGGCAGAAGTAAAATCTTACCTGTCCTATTCCTTATCTTTAAGTAAAATAAAAAGGAATGACAGTAAAAAATACACATTTTTGACTATTCTTCATATGAAATATTGCAGTATCATTGTTTTCAGCAATTTATAAAGAAATTGATGACTTATTTATATGTGAAATAAATTTTTTGCACTATGCACATACAGTATATCCTTGACTTATCATTTTAAAAATTTATTGACAATAAAAAATAATTATGAAAAGAAAATGCAATTAAAACAGAAACATTAGTACTGAAGTATTATCCCATCAATTGCAAAACTGTCACCATGTGTTATGTCAAACATACCCATAACATTTGCACTTTCATTTGATGTAACCCCCCAGTTGGTTTTTGATAATCTACCTTTTGATTTAATGAACAAGGATATGAATTAATTATTATTGCTGTATTTTTTCCTTTCATTTTGGGGAAAAAATAAATCAAGGGTCATAGAATCATGTTTGTGATTGAACTCTGGCTACTCAAAAATTAATATCTGCTAAAAGAGGGAAAAACAGCTGAATCTGGAAGTTTGTTCTCATAACAGAGTTTCTGGTAAAAATCAGAGGGCCTAACAAAATAAATTAGAGAAAGCCTTTTAAGGAGTGCAAAATTGAAAGTGGGTCTAATACTTAGTGGGTATTTAGTGTATATGTAGAGAGAAAAAATGCTTTACTGTAACAGCTGCATATAGAAAGCATGGCTCAGAATTCCACATGAATGATTGGCAAAACATGCCTAGAACATTCGCCAAGGTTATGGATGGGTATTAAGTACCAAAACATTTTAACTGGTTATTAGAGAAATTAGAAAATATATAAATAAAACATTGGTATATTTATTTTGAAGTTGTAAAAATCATTGTTGTTAATTTAATTATATTTTAAATTTAAACCAAAATCAAATTAAATTTATATGCACATTTATCTCTTTTACTCTAGCATAAACTCAGCAATTAGCTGTGAAAGTATAAATTACTTTGAATAATGCATCCTCCATTATATTGCACAGATAGTGAATAGAGGAATGTTACAACTTCTAATAGGTTGGAAAAGATGTTAAAAATTAATTACATACCTGTACAAATACTTGGGGTGATTTTGCCATTAAAGCATCTAAAGTTAAATCTGACATATTTATAGGATCTCTTGATCGTCCATTCATTGCAGAATTTTCATTTTCCACTGTTGTTTTTTCCTCTATATTTAAGACAGGGTCCCTAAATAGTAAAGAATGTATTTAATATTTATAAAGAATTTTAAGATAATACATTAAAAGTTTGATAATAGGAAGTCTGGGACTTTGGCTATGTCAAAGACAACGTGGCAAGAACAATTTTGCTAACCTAATTCAACCTACTATAGGAATACAAAATTTTAAATAAAGCTGTATACAGAGTAATTAAAAATATATTTAATGATTAAAAATATGCTAGGAGATAAACTACAGAATATGGTACTTTTCTGTTTTGCCGGCGCAGGCGATAAAGTCGGCAGTAATGGGTACAACTGATGCCAAACAGAATATCTTCACTGGTAACATTTTACGCCTCATTTTCAAAACAAATCGCAGCCATTTCTTATCAGATTGTTTGTTTCTTTCAATACTGGCATACAATTACATAGAATTTTTACCAGATAGTTCAATTTTATGTTCTAAGGCCATTCTCGGCAATTAAGTCAATTAGGATGCAATCACACTGCTCACCCAAAGCGAAAATATAGAAAAGACAAAATCAAGGGTTAAACTCATCAATCCTAAAGAGAATGCACTAGCGAAGTAAAGCACTGTGGTTTTACATAATTTCTGAGTAAGCTATTCGTACGAATTGAAATAAGTCTTGCATTTAAACTTATATTCCAAATTAATATTTAACTTGAAATTAATGTAGATAATTACTGAGAGAATTAGATTTTTGTAACATAATTTACGTGAGATGAGATCACTTGGGGTTACGTGATATGAACTGGAGAAAGCATAGTAAATTCTTAAATTAATGTCTTTTTAGAAATTTATTGTCTTTATTGGCTTTTTACAAAATTTTAAATGATATTAAAATGTTTACACAATTAAAATTGAAATTTCTTAGAGCTAATATTTGTTAAAATTTTTTATGTGTATACCGTATGTTGTCGCCAAAAAAGTCTGCTTGGCAAGATTTTCACCGGCAAAACAGAAAAGTACCCAGAATATGCATAATTTATAATTCTTAATCAGTTTTTGTTTAGGGATTTACTATTGAAGTTGTGTAAAAGCTTGAATGTCCACCTTCCTATCAAACTGTCTTTCAGAAGACTATGACAATTATTTGAATTTCCATTGTTTTGTGTTTGGTATACTCTTTAAATATCACTAACATATTAAATGCTTTGACAGCATAGCACCAAGTAATGTTATTCATCACTCTCCTGTTCCTTTGGCATCATCAGGATTTTCCATGTCTTTCGTTTACTTAATTTGTCACACATTTAAGCTTTAGAATATGTGACTAAAGAATTGTTTGAAGAAATACTTTCAGCAGATCAGGAGTGGTTAATCATATGACTGTCAATGCTAACATTTTATGCAATAAATATAAATTTAAGCTTTTATTCTTCAAAATATGGGAAATGCTGTCCATATTTTTAATATTTATGTTAAATTACAAATTATATTCCTAAGCGATATGAAAAATAGGTCACCAACAGTTTTTGGGTACAGCAAAAATGCTTAATAAAGCTAATACAGTTAGGTTTCCCAATCTAGCAATTCAGAAGTATTTGGTTTCTGTAGACATCAGTGTAAGATGACCAATAATATTTTCAAAAACTGAAGAAGTAAACAAATGCTCTCCAAGTGACTCAGTTGTAATTTGGTGAAATACAGGAACCCAAACATGTTAATGCTATCTTCCTACATATATATATATAAAATCAACCAATAGCACAAATAATGTATGTTCTCGATTTGCAACAGTGCTTCATTGTTTAAAGAATACTGATGTTATTTTTTTTAAATTGTTCAGTTATGTCTTGAAACTGCATGTACTATGAGGATCCCTGTCTAGAGCATCAATTAAGCTGCTGTCACAAGTAACAAGTAAATAAAGGTATATTTTACTTAAAATAATCGGTAATAGATTTAATTTACATGGGGAAATACTATTTCTGATTACCTGTGGTGACAAAAATGCTGTAGCCAAGGCTGGCTTTATCATTTCATGATAATTACACTTATATCATATTTTTTGACATATAGGTCAATATTCTAGGCCAAAAAATATTTAAGAAGTTGTTCTGGCTTTTATGCTGAATATAAAACATTTTAAATAATGGCTTCTATTTACACTGGTGTGCAAAACTTAAGCAACAATATAAATTTTAATCAGATAGCCATAAAGTTCCAGAAAAGGGGTTCTTTCGATCAGTACTATGAATACACAATTCAGTAGAAAGGTCATGCGTATGCAAATGTCAGGAACAAAACATCACAGGCAACGTGAGTGTACACAAAACGCGTGCAGTTGGCGCACTCAAGTTTACAATAAAAGGAAGGACGGATACACAATTAAAGACATTTGATGCAAGTCCATATGAGTTCTTTCATGAAATATGGCTAGAAGAAATCACCTGGATGACATCGCACGTGGAAGAATGATCGGAAAGCTGGAGGAGGAGCATAGTGTCACCAGTGTAGCTCAAGAGTTCAGAATCAACAAAAGTGTCATTTTGCGCACTTGGAAAGCCTTACAAACAATAGGTACAGTTTTTAGAAAGGTTGGTGGTTGCAGCCGCAGGAAATCAACTGCTGCGGATGACCAATATATCATCCTGAAGGCAAAAAGAGCCCGAAACCAGTCAGCAAGCGCCATAGCTCAACAAGTATGTACAGCAACGGGGCGACAAGTGTCGTGATTAACTATGTCCAGACACAGAAGGTAGCCTTTCGCAGAAGGTCCGCTGTTTCAAACGTTGCATCCGTTTGAAAATTGGTCATCGGCGCCACCATTTAGAGTGATGCAAGGAGCATGAACTTGGACATCTCATCAATGGAGTTTTGTCCTCTTTACGTATGAGAGTCGTTTTAGTGCTACAAGAGATTCTCAACGCCAGTTGATTTGAAGAGAGGTCGGGACACGGTTTCATCCCAGCAACATCACGGAAAGAGATCGTTATGGTGGTCCTGGAGTTCTCGTCTGGAGAACCATTATGCTGCACGGGCAGACAGAGCTCTATGTTTTTTCTTTTTCTTTTTCTTTTTTTTTTTTGACAGAGGTTCTGTAACCGGAGATCGCTATTGTCAGGAGGTAATCCTTCCCCATGTGGGTCTGTTCCGAGGTGCCATTGGAGCAGATTTCGTTTTTATGGATGATAATACACGGCCACACCAGACTCCTGTTTTTCAGAAGCTAGTGGAAAGTGAAGATACCACTGGAATGGATTGGCTAGCGTATTTCCCTGATTTAAATCTCATAGAACATGTGTGGGATGCTTTAGGGAGACGCCTTGCGGCGCGATTACATCCTCCGGGGAACACCCAACAACTGAACAGAGATGCTGATTGGACACTCTTACCTCATGATTTGTTGGACAATATGGTGCTGGGTATGAAGCGACGGTGCGAAGACACCATTGCAGTAACAGGAGGGCATATCCCATACTAAGGAACATCTGCTTGTTGTTCTTCCTCTTGTGCAGACAATCATGTGTAACGATACTATGAGTTCAATAAAGCCGTTTTTTTGTTTGATTCCATATTGTATGCATTTTTGCGCTAATATTCTTTTGTCATTGTTTAAATACAAAATGCTGTCTCTCATTTCTGAATTTCATGTCTCTCAGATGATTATTTATGGAGTTATGGCCAAAAGAACACCTGTTGCTTAAGTTTTGCACACCAGTGTACATTAACCAAATTATTGATTATTTAGAAAAATAATAATAATAATAATAATTTCTAAAAAATTTTTTTAAAAAAAGAATAGTATTCTATGAAAATTTTATGCAAATGCAAAAATAATAGCATCCTTCTGTCTTGTCCAAAAACTTGGAAATAAGTTTATGCAGTTAAAACCATTTTTTATTGACTTATAGGCTATATGAAATTACAGGCGATCCTTATTCAAAGTCTTTGTCTTCAAACTGTGTTAATTTATTTCATTTTTTGGCTTCTGCTAAAACATAATACAGAGAGTGTTCACACATTTTTGTAATGATTTTGCAAAGATTTAAATATAAACAACCTTTACAATTTTATTTTCAAATATGTTCGGTCTGATAGCCCTTTTGTTGAACTATCATATTTTAGATCTTGATTTCCGAGATAAAAGTCCTTTTTTTTTTAAACATCAAATTTGATTTTATTCCACCCCTCTTTCACAGTCTTCCAGAGTCCATCCAATGTTTTGGAATGCCGCTCATAAAGAACTCATTTTAAAACTTCAGTTGCACAGTAATCCATAGGAGACACATTAAGGGACTTGGGTGGGATGCATTTAAAGGGAATAGTTTCAATTCCAGTTTCATTTGTCATTTTTTCAAAAAATAGATTGGTAGATTTAGAGGTATGGCTGAGAGCCTTATCTTGATGGAACTTATCACAGTGATGATTGTTTGGATTAAGAGAGGAAATTTCTTCTTTAAAAATAGGTGTTCAAACATATTTCTGATAGTAATCCGAATTAATTTGACATTTTTTTCTACTTTCCTTATTTTAAGCTTTCCGTCATACTAGAATAGTGCCGAAGTGAAATGAAGAATCGGGAATCTCCAGATGCCGGGGGGTGGGGGTGGAATCAAATGCTCATGCATAAAGCACATACACAAAATAAATAAATAAAAGTTGGTGATTGCTTTGAGGTCCAGATTTTAGATCATTCTGGATATATACATCTGAATCTCGAACTTTGAACTGTATATGACAGTGATTGCGAACCTATAACATGTATGTCATAAGTGACATGTGAACCCATTTTGGGTGACACGCCTCATGCATTTCAGACACCAATGAATTGCAGAATACAAAGATATGTCTCTTGCAACAGTTTTGTCATTCTCAATAAGTGCTATACTTACTTCAGGTGCATTCTTGGCAGATGGATGACTGACAGAAGGTTCTATATGTGACATGATATCAGAATTAAACTAGTGTTTTTCCAAATTTTCACACACTGAGCTCAAAAGGTTCACATTACTGGTATATGAAATATACAACTGTAAACATATTTCATTTGTAAGCTAAAAAAATTAATTTATTTCAAAGAGCTTTAAAAAAACATACTTATTGTTGGGACTGCTGATTTGTTCAGTTTCTTGAGGAGAAAGATTGTGGGTCTGCACTGGATGACTGGATGGAACATTGCGATAAGGAACAAGGGGACTTCGAGGAACTAGAGGGCTTGAAGTTCGGACATCATTCGCATAATTTCCTCCTTGTGGCTTATTTCGTTTACCACTGCTTGGCTCTCCTGTTCATAAAAATGTTTTAAAAATTATGAAAATCAATGGCACAATTTAAAAATTATTTTAATAACTCTCTTTTGCCACAATTTTCTTTGTGATAAACAAAGAACAATTATACAAATTTAAAACTTTTGTTTGAATTCTGTTTGCTTTAAATAATGTACAATGTGGTGGAGCTACGTTAACACTAATTTCGAGATTACTCCATTTGACAATGTACTTACTCCTTTTACTTCATCTGAATAGAGTTTCCAAAATTCCACTAGTTTGCCTTTTATGCATCCCCCCAAAAAAGTTTCTGCATTAAATTTAATATTTGTTGTATGTTTATACTCAATGGAGGCATGGTACCTGAGAGTTGAAACTGAATTCAATTGAAACTCATTCAGGCTTAAAATACTTGAGCAAATTGCCTTCATCTAGTAGTGGATGTAATTTAAATGACAATATTTTCAAATAAATTGGATTTATGAGAAAAATTTTGTACAAATTGTGAAAAGTCACCAACTGTTGTTTTGAATTAAAAAGAAATATCATACTGAAGATTTTCAACAAGACTGAAAAACATACTACTTCATGTTTCGGTGAGTAAAATAAAAGCAGTTGAATAGCATGTTAGCTGTCTTAAAATGCTAAAGTTTAATCACATACCATCTCAATATATTTAAAATATTGCCTCCTTTTTGTAAATTTTCAGGAATAGTAAGAAAATTGCATTTTTACACCAAATATGTAGAAAGATTTACTTAAGTGACCTAAAATAAAATTTAAAAAATTGAATATATAAAAATTACTATTATTCCTTTAATGCTGGCTTTTTTCCTACAGGGTGATTTAAGTAGTAAACTAATTTTGCATAAGTTTGGCATTTCATATATATAACATATTTGGAAATTTCTCAATGCAGATTTTAGTTTAGCAAAATATATATTAAGCCTTAACAATCCTAGGATTTTTTCCCCAGTAACTTGAAACCAGAAAACATACAAATTTTATTTGATGCATGGACTTCCAATATTTTCTACATGAAAATGGATGCAAGTCATTTTAATGGTATGACTGTCAGCATAATTAGTTTGCAACACAGCCATAAATATATCATCATTATCAGAAGTGGTTCCAAGAATTGAACAAATTCACGCTCAATTCAATTGTACAAGAATGGAATAATTCGGGCGGTTAAGATACAATAACACGCCGAACAAATATTAATTTAGAAGTCAAACAACAAAAATCAGCGTTATATTTTCAAATTTCACAGGACTAGTTTCGATGTTTTTACTGAACCATCACCCTCAGCTGCAGAAGCACATATGTTGTGCAAATGTCCATTTGCACTTTTGCAGCTGAGGATGATGGTTCAGTAAAACCATCGAAACTAGTCCTGTGAAATTTGAAAATATAATGATGATTTTTGTTGTTTGACTTCTAAATTAATTCTGGTAGTGTCATTGACATTCACGTGAACAGATGGTGTGCATAGAAATGAAAACTTGGTACATCAACTGAAGAATTTTTTTTTTTACATCAGTTTTGCAGAATACAACAGACTGTTGAACATTATTGTCTAATCTAATCCATTATGAAAAAGATGTAAAAATCTGATTTATATTTTGCTTAGTAAATTTTCAAAGGCACTAAAATCAAAACTTCCACAATTATTGCTGTCACTATCAAAATCTTCCATTTCTAACATACAAAAATCAAGTACAAACTACATTAAATAAAACTTAAATCTTCAATATTTGCATCTAAGAATAAATTAATAAAATACTTAGGAAATGTACTACAGTAACTAATTAACTATTGCACTGCCATTCAGTTTTCATATGATCTCACAAAGACAGTAATTTAAGTTGAAATCTGCATATTTACAGAATAACATTTACCACTTCACAATGTTGTGTATAATCCTATGCCAGCTATTCAACTACAAAATTGTGGTTGTGCCAGCTATTCAACCACAAAATCAAGTTAATGTGGTGGCTCTCATAGTTACTCTAAAATTTTGCCACACAGACAAGAACCTCATAATCTAGGCTTAATATTGAGATCCTGAAAAAAGAAAGAGCACTTAAAACAATTCTTTATATTCTGTTTTGCTATTTTTGAAGTGGAAGTCCATACGTTATGGCTACTGCCAATGCAAGTGAAGCATACAGTAGATTTGGTCGAATGCTTAATGTAGAATTGTCCAATTATTGAGTAAATATTCACAAGTGTCTTATAGGCCTTAGTTAATTTGCATCAAGAATAATACCTACATATTTTACCCATGTATGTTTTGGCACTATTATATCATTTAAAATAAAGCAAACACCCAGATATCTGGCTTCAAACTAACCAAAAACCTCAAGCCAGCAGAAAATTTTAGAATTTCAGTTTTTATAATGCATCCTTTCTTAAAAATCAACCCAATGAGAGACTTTTAAAGCCATTATAAAGCACATACAGGTCTCTAGAAACTCCACTGATACTTTTTAAAATGTGATAGAATTACAGACTTTTCTTTCTGAAGCTGCTGCTTACATCCCTTTTCCCTGCACCATTGTATCCATCATATTGTTCTAAGAATTCGTCCATGAAAGAAGATACATCTCATACAAAGAAAAGTGAGGAATTAATATCCAGTAAAGTTCTGACTTTTCTTTGTTACTAGAGTACAGGAAAGTTCTTTGTTACTAGAGTACAGGAACGTATGAAAGATTTCAAAGTTTAAAATACGTGTTTAGTTTGTTTATTACAATCACTATTCTCATCAGTATGCTTAATGGGGGCAATGAGTAGAGTAATAGGCTTTATAAAATTTAAAGAAGGGATGAGTAAAATGAAAGTTTTATTGTTACATTATTTTTTCAAATATTGGCCTTATATTTTTAACTAATGCAAAAATTTTAAAAAAAATGTACCCTGCAAATCATCACTAAATGAACAAAGATGGCAAATTTAAGTATGTTTAATCGTGGCACCCCTGATGGGTAAAAAATGGATTAGAGCTTGTTTCTACAACAAAAGACAGCTGTAGATGATCTGTCAAAGGGTCTATTGTGATAGGTAGAGAGTGCAAAGGTCTGTGGCATGCAATAGGGTAGAATTTGGAAGGAGTAACCTTACAACAAGTGCTCAAACAGAAATTAAAGTACGTTCATCTCTTTTATCAACATAAATTACAATAAATTAGTCATAATCTTAATCTCACAATAAAAGACAAACTTGGTTCAAATTATCCTAATTAAATAAAGAACAATCTTTTTCCTTTAACCTTCTGCTGGAATGACGGGCACAAGTTTGGCAGCATATCAGCCAATTTTCAATGCAGACAGAATTTTATAATCAAATAAGATGATTTCATTTCATATGTTGAAGGCCTATAAAATACATCAGATTTTATTTAAGAAATGATTTTTTTTTTTCAAAAATTTGTATAATTTTTAAAGTAGGCTTTTGATATTCAAGCTGATAACAAATAAGACGACTGTATTTAGAATTTCAGACAATAAATTCCTTTCTGCACTCACATGGCATTTTTTTTTTTTTTTTTTTTTTTTTTTTTACCATTCCATTTTGTATAAGTTAAACTATCTGGAAATTTCATGTATCAGGGATCAGCATTCCAAAAACAACCTTTTACTGTAATAATATTAATTCTTTTCAATACATTTTTTTCCCTTTTTCTCTGAAGAAAATATCTGTGTTTTTTAACAAGCAAAGCATGAGGAGATGACACTGACAGAATCTTGTAATTTTACACCAGCATATTGTTTGTAGATTACCAAATCATGTTTCAGAATATCTTTGATCTTGTTAAAACAGGGTGCTGAATCATTGAACTATGAATAACAATAAACAAACTATTGTTTATTTGGACTTTAAAGTTTTACAGTAGTCAAAATTAATCGTGTTTTGTATCAAATCAACACAGGAAGAGGGGGGGGGAGTGTCTTCTATAACTGAACAACACTGTCTATGAATAACTCAAAAAGCAAGATACAATAAATGAAATTTCATAATTAAAAATTCCTATATCACACACAGGCAAATCACACAGTGTCCACACGGCATACAATCAATATTTCTAAGTAGGTAATCAGTGTACATCAAAATATGAAATACGCACATTTTTGAAAACAAAAATATATGCAATGGACTATAAAAAGTAAAAGTTGCGTTTGATAAATTTAGCACTTATTGAGATCATTAAATATGTTCAAAATATACATGTACTGAATGCTATGAAAATCAATACATTTTATTTTTTAATTTATATTAGTATGCTGATGCATGTAAACAGTGAGTAAATGTTAGAGAAATTTAAGCAAAAGAGATAAAAACAATGGTTAACAGACAAATTACTTGGCACATTACTTTTATCTGGACATGCTTACAAATATGAAAGTATAAAAAACTAATGATAAAAGTATCAATTCACCAACTAGATATGAAGAATACTTGCCTTTACTACAGTGGACGGAGCAATAAATGAGGCCTCTCCTTGGTAGAAATGGTCTGCCTAATAAAGGAAGGTGGCAAGCATGACAACGGAAGCAATTTTCTGTGGCATGCCAATGCTGCCCTTCATGTGACATTTGTCCCTGATCTACTCCAATGGGATCACCACATGAGTCACAATATTCTGCAAAAGTGGCATCAAAACAGTGAAGGCAAAATGGACGACCATCCCTCATAACATATCGTTCTCCTCCCAGTTGACGATCACATTCAAAACAGCAAAAGTGGCGCATGTGCCAAGCACGTCCCTCAGCTTCTGTACATTCATCAGCAAAGATTATCTAAAAGAAAACATCAAAAATTAATATTTCATTTTCCTTATTATTTCAAAGCATTTTATAAAAGTTTCTATTTATACTCATGGAGTACTGAGAAAAGACTGCTGCCTAATTAAATACCTGATAAATGAATTGCTACATAGATAATCCAATTTTTCAAGTAATGAATCAAATAAGCCAGGTCTCCAAACCATAAACAAATATATATGATATATAAATATAATTTTTTATAAAAGTGTTGAAGAAAGGGAAAATATTGATGATGGTATGTGTTTTTTTCATAGCTGAATTGATAAAAGAAACTACTTAATATTATGAAAACCAATGTAATAATCAATGTACTCATATTTAATTTAACTTTGAGACAATGTCCACAAGACATGCCTCAGTATTGTTTAAGACAGTTTGGCATAATAAGTTTTCAAATATAAATTTCCAAAAGATATTTTTTACATCGTAACTCAATAATTTAAAAGTACTGGTTTTAAACTGTCCTTTGTAGAAACAGTAAAATTAAAAAAAAAATATATAAAATGAATTAGTTTTACACAACCTTTAAAACTGATGCACTTTTTTCAGGTGGAATTTGTTTCAAGTTTTGGCATACTTTTGAAATAGATTTTATAAGATTATAATTTTTTTGCTTCAGGAATGCCATAAAAATTAAAATACTCATATTTAATTTATATTATACTGCTTGAACCCAGATAAAGTATAAATGCATAATTTTCAGTGCTACTCTACATATAATTCTATAAATATCTTGAGATATAGAAAATCAGCTGCATGTAAATAAGAGATGACATAACAGAGATGAGAAGCTTTCAGGCATGGCCATTGTTTCAACATAGCTTTATTTCATAACAGAGCAAGTTTTGATACACATAAATAGGTTTACAGATCATCATTTTATGGGTGCGCTACACATAAAGTGATTGTTATGAAACTATAATGCGATACATATAAATATGTTCATACATCATCATTTATGGGTGTGCTATACACCCCACAATTCTGTACAGCTTATCTGAAGCAGCAAACTATGTGTGTCAGACAGCAAGGCAAAGCAGGAAAAAGGGCGCACAATTAGCAACAGCAGTATTTATAGACTTGGTTACTTTTTTAAAATTTTGAACTGTGGTTAGATAGAAAAATATACCTTTGATATAAAAATATACCTGCAAAGCTTTTCTTACATAAAAGCATGATGCAGATTAATTTTCAGATGATGCTCTTCAGATTTATATATTTAGTATTTGAGAAGAAGGGAATATAACTTTATTTAAAGGACTATTGCTAAATAAAATTAGGAGTTTTCTTTCATATTTTCCCCCATAACACAAGACATCCTCAGGATATCCTCTTTAAGTCGCAATGTCCCGGGAAGCAGTTAGGATATCCGGAGCATGTTGATTCTCAAATATCCTGAGGACTTCTTAAGTCAACATCCTGAGGATATCCTATTCAAATCTCAATGTCCCGGGATATATGAAGATCTCCTCAGGATGTTGATTTTCAGATATCCTGAGGACTTCGTAAATCAACATCTTAAGGATGTCCTGTTCAAGTCGTAATATCCCGGGATATATGAAGATCTCCTGAGGATGTTGTTTCTCAGATATCTTCAGTACTTACTTTTTATGGAAGCTCATATCTGAAAATATTAAAGTAAAGTAACCTTGTACCACTCGCAAGTCATGTTATAATAATCGAAATCTTACTCTATGGATTACCTATTCTGCATATGAAAATTTAATTGTTATGCTTACACTAGTTTTTGTCTTGTATATGTTGGCTGTAAGTGTTAATTAATAATATTTTCAAATTTTTGTTTTTGTTTCACAGTGTCTAGTGATCAGAGTCTTTCTTACAAATTATATGCACATGTTTTCAGCCGTTTTGAGTTTCATATTGAAACTGTGTTTACGATTAAATTCTAATTGCTACATAATATATTTTGTAAACATTATTTTAGATACTTTTCTAATATCTTTGAACACAAATATTATTTACGTTACAGGTTAACTCAGAAAATCTTTCACGAAGACATCCTATGAACTTATCCTATGATCCTATGAACCTATGAATCCTATGATCCTGTGAACAGATGGGCATGATGTACATCCATGCCTTATCTGGCATTCGAACTTGAGCCCTTCTGTACGGCAATCAGTCATTAATCACTTACCCATCTCTGAGGCATTAATCAGAAATATCAAGTTATAAAAGTATTCTATTAAATTCATCAATAGTTCTTAGCATAGAAATAACTATATTTTGAAACTGCAAAAGAAAAAAGTACTTTTTTATCTGTTACACTATTATATTAGTAATGAATGATGTTTAGTGCTGTGCAGTAATAAGTAACAATAATTTTTTTTTTTTTTTTTTTTTTTTTTTTTTTAACAAACGAAATTTTAGTTTACAGACGCAGTTAAAAACTAGTCTGTACGAGGTTTAACTTGCTTTAATTTGAATTTATAAACAGAAGAATAATTTTATTTGGCTAAAAATTGCATTGCAGTTTCTTCGTTCATTTTCTGGTAAGTTCTTTAATAATGAGAATTAGTCTTTCAAAGCGACTGAGGTAAGAAGTAACTGATTTTTTACCTCTCTGAAATAGGAAAATGAGGTTTAAGAATGGGAAGAACTAACATTAAGTTCTTACTCTCCTCAAACCTCACTTTGCTACCTCTTTAACCATACAAATATTCGGTCTTTGCTAAACAAAGCGCGAAAAAAATATATCCGAAGCTCTGGCAGTCTTATACGTTATGCCGGCAATGCTACATGACTCCTCATAATTTAACAATAATTACTGCTTTATTAATTTATTTGTAACATCCAGAAAATGCAGTAAACACGTTTCTTCAAGGTATATAACACAAAGTTAAATGTTGTTATGAAAAACTCAAAACTAGATAACGGATTAAATAGATGTTCAAACTTTAAATTAAAATGATTTAATTTTTAAATTAAACGCGTTCTTTAAACTCAGCAGTTTTATTACTTTATTTTATACTATAAATAACAATTGAAGTTGAAAATCTTAAATGTTTGTTTCCATCACTATCATTGTTCGTAAAACTGCTTCTCAAATTTTCTTTGCTTTTGAGAAACCGAGCTCCGCTCAGAATGTAACACCTCTGAGCACTTTTTCTGTAGCCGATGCCCCAAGAAGATTTCTCTTTTGTTAACGTGGCAGATTTATGTGTCAGACCTTCCCTTCTTTGTATCCCCCTACAAGGGAAACATCCCTTCACAACAAAGGACGCAGAATGCCCCCAACGGTTTTAATTGCTCCGTAATAGTGATATCCTTGAAGAACCCCACAAAGTGGAAAGTACACGTACTTACTTTCTGATTTCCAGAATTCAGCTATTCTGCTAAACGTTAATAGCCGTCGTTCCAAATTCTCTTTCAGTTACGAACTGACTTGCTGACGCTTGCAAGCGTTACATTGAGAGAGTGTGAAAAGTAAGTTTCAAAATTTTTCCTTTATTCTACAAAAATGATCAGAACTAAAAAAAATTATCTCAGATATCTAAAAGACGGATTTACAGCAGAATAAATCAACGTATATTATCGGATTCGTCAGAAGATGAAGTAGCATTTAATTATGAAAAAAGCCTGTGACGAATTTTCGCGCTAGAAAATATTCTTTAAGTTCCATTTCAAACTGTGATTCGGAATATGAACTTTTATGTCTCAAGAAGAACTGACTGATGACGATTACCAAAACGATTATCCCATTTTAAGGAATATTCCAAATATAGGACTAATAAATATTCCGTTAGACTTTATGTCCCTTGTGTGCTTAGGAGTAGTACAAAAAATGATTACTATTAGGATAGGCGGAGGCACCTTACAAGCACGATTACCACATAAAAATGTTGAACTAATTTTTTTTTTAAAATGACCAGTTTTTAAAGCCTTATGTACCAATTGAATTTGCAAGAAAACCAAGGAACCAACTCTAAAAGAATTGAAACACTGGAAAGCTACAGAATACCGTCAATTTTTACTGTACACTAGCCCACATTTTTTTTTTTTTTTTTTTTAATTTAACAAAAAGCTATATGATCATTTTTTACTACTTCATATTTCGATTAGACTCTTATGCAAAATACAGAATCAGACGGCAATTGACGAATATGCATAGTCTCTATTAAAACTCTTCATAGTAAATTTTGGGCTTTATTATGAAAAACAGTATACAGTCATAAAGTCGTTAATTCGGACACCCATAATCCGGAATGATCTATAATCCGGACCTCAAAGCTACAAACTTTCTGCGCATGCGTCGCGTTCATGCATGCGCACAGGCGTTTACGAGAGCGCGTAAGACCGTCACCACCGGAAAAACAAGGCCTCCCTTCTGCTGCGAGTGACGTCAGTCAGCCAGGGACTAGTAGGCATAACAAACCGTCACCGCTCCTTTCAGTAGTAACGTCAACGTGCAAGCATGCTTGTAGTTTTAGCGGGAAATTTCTATATTTCATAAAACATTTAATAATATTTCATTTGTTAATAATCTGTTGAAGGATGGTTTATACTTGTTTGTTTCCTAACTGCAGAGGAAACTATCCAAACACTGAAAAAGTACAGATGTTTTCTATACCCAAATCGGATTCGTTGTGCAGAAAATGGCTCCGTGCAATTCACCGGCAGAATTTCATCCCATCAAATCATTCTAAGGTACGTACAATCAATTTTTTAAACTTATGATTTATTTCGCGATAAAAAATTAGGCCTTATTGTTGCTTTTTTTATACTAATTAAACTTCTATATATGATATTGTTGTTATAAACTTAATTTGAATTCTATAAAATCTGAAATTAATTATCCTGATACATAAATCAACAAATAATACAGTTCGTCATTAATTCTAAAGCATTTAAATCTGTAATGAAATTTAGTGAGATATTATTTAAAGTACAATATTTAAGTTAATATTAGGTAAGCAAAAACTTTCTAGAATATCAGCTGAATTTCAGTATAC